ATATGACAGTCAATTAAAGTATTTTTTTGTCAGTAGTCTCCATATTGCCGCTAAAACAGGCTATTCGTGAAAGGGATTCATTCCGGAATTACTTGGTATAAATTCATGCTCCTGGTTAACATATTTAGTGCTGTATTATGATATCTCATTCAAGGTTGATGTACGAAGAATCTTGAGCATGCTTGATTTCGGTGGTACGAAATATAGCTTATCGCATTTTGATCACTGCTTTCATAAAAACTCATAATCTACATAAGGAATTGTGTTTAATCAGATAGTATGCAAGGTCAAATTATAAATAGGCGATTAATAGCCTAGTGATAGTATATCAGAGGGTTTTTGTACCGCTTTTTCGCATTAAAATGGCCCGAGTATATCTGTAGAAACTCTAGGAGATAGAATAGTGCTATCTTATCTGGCCTCGTGGGGTCACTGAAAGTCTGCCTACATATGTGTAGCGTGTCCCATTAGTTGGACGTCGGTCTCGTAGTTCTACATCACGGGATTCTGATCTAAGTCAACAGACATGAAGGCACGTGTGTGGCTTTTTGGTTCTGAGCTAGATCTACTACCTGAAGAGGAAATCCTGAAATCGCCTCAGTTAGGTCCTCTTGTTAGACTTACACCGCTGTATGTTAACTACTTTGTGCAAATTTATAAACTTATAATTCGGCATACCGGTGAAGTTTAAAATTAGGTTCGAAGAAGTATATTAATATGTGTAGAATTTTGAAGTATGATGGAAGATCAAACCTAGCTCTTCTTTTCCAGAGGGTTTCCCAGCCTTCAATGTATTACATCGTACACGGTACTCAGGTCCATATTCCACGCCCAAAGTAATTTTTGTGAGGTCTCTGCATTCCTTCTATTTTTAACTCGCTACCTATACGAAGGCTGCTGAGTATAAACGGATAATTATAAAGCACTAAGCGAATCCGGACTTATTATAGTACCAGTCTAGACTCGCTCATGAAATTTATGAATAACACAACCCATTATTTTGCTCATTCTTAAGCTGGTTGACACTATGTGTTCGGAAAAGTTAGGTCATCCGAGTATCTAAACCCCAAGTCTTAGATTGCATCACATTAGTATATTGGTTTATTATGGACTTAGAAATGGAGTCCCAGGTTGCTGCAACCAACATTGATCTCGGTTCACTTGTTAATATCGAAGTGAAGTTGGCTTTTTTTGCACCACATTGCCACTTCATCTAACGTCTGCTGAATAAAATTAGTGATGTTATACACTTTGTCTCTGTGGCATGAGTAGACTACCATAATGTCATTGGAGTGCAGGAGGATATTTCATAAGTAACGGCCTCTACAACTGCTGTTGATATATATTACGAATAAAAGAGGGCCTATCAAACTCCCTTCCACAACACGAGTTAACTTCTAAGGTGCTGATGTCTTTTAGTTAACTATGGTAATGTGGTAATGATCACCTTAGAATGATTTAAGCCAACTAAGTAAGGGATGGTGGATTCTCTTAAAATATAAGTTAACATGTGAACTACAATGGGATAGTTTATAGAATGCCCAAGATACGTTAAAATAAAGGACTGATGCAGTTGTAGGTGATACCCAACAATGTGTTACGTGAGCAAAGAACTCGAGATGACAAGTTATACACGACTTGCATCTAATGAAATAGCAAATATTATCAGAAGTATCGTGCCATATACAGCCTTGTTAAATTACCTTACCCAGTGTTGAGATGCAGAAGCTAGGGTAACCATATCACAGTGAATCCTCATGGAGTCTAAAATTGACTCAATAAATACCACCTGAAGAACTTGGTCAAAAACACACATTAGCTATGTTCGGGAGGTTAGATCCCCAGAACGCACTTGGAAAAGGTCCTAACTTAGGATTTTTTATGTTTTAGCGCATAAGCTCCTTATTTGACCTTCAGCTTACATTACCCACTCGGAAAATCCTTGATTGTCACAGGCCGATGGATTATTTTAGTGCGCTATTTTTGTGGCTCTATCATGTATAAATAAGCTCGGTTTGTGCCCTTGTTGACCTCGTATTTCTTGGGTGCTTGTAGGGGACACTTTCTACGCCTTATTAAGGATTCTTGATATAGTTATCCGGGCCGGGGAAAACGGGTTAGAATGGCCTATCGTGTCACTGTATCATTTGTCTTCGCTTTGTTTACCGAGTAAAGTTAACTCTTAATAGTCTCAAGCATATCAAGCTAGGACGTATATTGATAAGTTACTAACTTTCTCAGTTATCAAGGGCGATTATGCAGGTACCTTGAGGAAGTTAATGAATTCCTCATTAGAGCTGGTCGCTTCATGTCTGGACTAAAACTAACCGTCAACTATGTATCCAACATGTTCAAAATCAGACACACAGAATGAACAATTATTGGGATTTACATCCGTATTCTTTTCATTTAGATAACGCAATACGGCGATAAGTTGCTGATTATGCAGATCAGCAAAAGCAAGATGGGGACCGTGAGATTATGTTAGTGCGGTACAACAGTAAAATGTTCAGTGGTACAACTGTTTGTAATAACGAATGCTGCTATTTAACCAACCATGTTTTCCTCGTACTAGAATTTTTTGTATGCTGAATTCTTCTGTCTTCCCTGCGCCTAGCAATTTCAGGTAATAAACCAAGTAAAGCATCGGAAGCTTCTTTAGAAGCTAACAAAGACAAATCCCTCCTAAGTCATTTTTATTTTTTAAACCTCGAATAAACGAACCTGTTTCACCATGAATTCGAAATAGTCATTTAAAATATTCATGATCAAAATAGATCTAGAATCTTTACATGACGCTAGCAAGAACTCGGATTTGAATTACGCGGTATGAAATTGTGTTGTTTTATTTTATATCAGATTTAAACACAACATATTCACCCAGATTATAAGTGTATTTTCTATTCACTAAATTTGCTAGATATATGTCTAGGTGTCGATAATATAGTCTTTGGTTTTCTCCACTTTCGCCTAATGGCCTTTTCAAGTATGAGTAGCATGATAAGAAGTCTGCATGTGGTATGCTTTTAGCCACTCAGTACCCAATGGTAAAATCATAAATATTCAATTCTAATTTCAATCTCTGGACCATAAGCTGCAAACTGATTGGGTGGGAAATAAGCGTAAACTCCTGATGATCAGTTACAATATGGAATTTCATACCGGATAAATATTTGTACAGTCTTCTCAATGCCCATGCCACAACTAGACCTTCCTTTTGATTTTGAGGTTATCCTTGTGCACTCTTGCTTAAGTATCTCGAAAGGAAAATAACAGGCTCTCATTCTGCTTAAAAAGCCACACCTAACTCCATAAGAGATATATCTATAGTGAGGATAGATTTTTTAGTTTAGCGAAACAATATTTTCTGAACTTTTAATTGTTATACTAATAAGGATACATTTACCATTGAAATGAGTTCGATCTACACAGTAATTCAGACACCATTTACCCAAATCCTACCAGTCAGGTTCGTCACTAGGTATGCTTGAAACTATTACGGATTCTACCTTAGTCGATAAGCAAGAATGAAACAATGAACCAGCGTCCAGATAGGCTACTCTGATCTGTTGACTCAACAGCTAACGAGAAGTCTTGATATAGCGTAGAAAGTATATTCTACAAACACCCAGCAAGCAAAATGATCTCAAGCACACAAATCGCGTTTATTTATACATCATAGAAACGTCCTTAAGACAGTCACGAAAATAGTACACTAAAATGACACAGCAACCAATCACAGACAAGGATCTTCCCAGTGGGAAATGTAATCTGAAGGTCAACTGATCAGTCCATGCTCGCGAACGTGAAATCCAAGATAAGGCATTTATCAAGCGAGTTCTGAGGATATAACGTCCTTAACACTACCACTGTACAAGTCTCATTCCAATTAGAATTATATTTGAGCAAGAAATTTGTCCGTGAACCATTAGGAAATGTAAAGAACCTAGAGAATATATCATTATCGGATGTACGCTAGAGGAAGGTTGTAGAGTTTATTCAATTTGAAGATAATTTATTATCATGAATGGACTTGAGATGTTTTCAAAATGAAATTGAATTCACTCACGAAATTTCTCATTCATCTATATTTTTTATAAATTTTCTTATTATTAGAGAACTATAACATAGTCAGTCAGATGCAACGTAGAACTTCCTACGTATGTACATCAGTTCATGTCGCCATACCACATCAGCACAGAGATGTAATTGTCAATTCAAATCCAATAGTAGAAGAGGTTGAGGTAGTACAGGTATTAGGAGTAATCGGAGAGGTTAGGATTAGAAGATATTATTCAAGAAGTATGATTCAATGAGAAAAGTTGAGAAAGTCAAAACTAGAGGTGTTGAAGAATCCAGAAGATTAGGATTTGAAAGAACACAAAGAATAAATGCACCGGCGCCATTGCAAACGGTTTTGAGCCATGTCATTCAGGGTCTCTAGCCATCGATTATTATCATCTCGCGGATCCCAACCAGGTAGTCGACAACTACCGACATGGCTCAGTCCACTCGTCAATGACTTCATGGATTTCAGCCATGTTTTGGTTTGGCCGCCCCTAGCTTTCTTCCAACCTATTCCTACACCACAAAACAAAGCTCGACGAGGCAGTCGGTGGTTAGGCATACGCAACACATGTCCCAACCACCTCAACTGATGAAGTTTCACCATTTCATCTATTGATCTGCCATTCTTACCTAGCACCCGTTCCCTAATAACAACGTTGCTCACTCGGCTGTCCCAGGATATACGAGCAATGCTTCAAAGACACCTATGATCGAAAACCAGTAACCTACGAATCTCTTCTACTCTCACTATAACATAACATATACATAAGAATGAACAACATCAACAACAACAACAACTAATTGATTGATCATTGAAATTCTATTTATTAAAAAATAAACCCATTGTTCTAAAACATAAATTTGATTGTATTTTTCAAATTTATAAATGCGTCAATTTTTTCAATCATTACATAATAATAATAATCTTTGAATTATAATAATTTATCAAAACGTTCTTTAGTTTTTGCACGAATATATGCTTGTGTTAATTCTTTCGGTGTAGAATCAATTGGTACGAGATTTTTCGATGAATTATTTAAGCCAAGACCAGCTTGTGGATTAATACGTAAACTAACAGTGATCTGAAATTGTTATTATTCAAAACATATTATTAGCATTGTGTAACAATGCAATACAAAAGAGCAAGTTATTGTGAATTAAAAGAATAAAGGAAATCAATAAATATTTTCAGATCATGTATTTTATGAAATAGAAAAGAAACTCAACTGATACTAAAGAAAATTATTATTATCATTATTATTCTTTTGAATTTTCATCAGATATCAAATATTCAAAGCATAATGGATTGATGAAAAACATAAGCGTCTACTCACATTAGACGTACGATAACCATATACATTCTGAACTAATCATATTATCCTGAGAAGTTGTCCATTTTTTTTGTATGAATATTCTTGTTTAATAATGATAGTTTTAATTTACTAATAATATAAAATAATAAATGATCTAGTGGTTGAAGCATTAGACTGTTGTTAGCCTGTCGACTGGGATCTGATTTTAGTTTAAGCAGTTCAACAGTATCATTAGATCTTAGACAATTATATAAATTATATAAATTTACCCTGTATTGTCAAGGGGGCAATTTTACATTGGTGGTTTTCAGGAGAACCAAAGAGACTGTGCTCACGTTTTATCATTACTACATGAACAGTTCGGCTCAATTCTGTGGTGCAACCACACAAGTACCTGATACCCTGGTGGACCATTCACACCATTTCATATACACACAATGGTATATATATATATTTCCGAAGCATGATCGCGTCAATCAATATGCACCGCATGAACAGGCCATTTAGACCCATCCCGCTTACACTACTGTCAAACTCATTATAATTGCAATGGTGATATGTAATACAGCACCCCAATGATAATGGCCCTCGGGAAAACAACCACCACTTATATCAATGAAATCGGTCGTCCTGCTAACTAATTTTGTATTTGGACTGTTAACAATGCTTACCAAAGCAAAGCAAAGCCATTCACAATATTCAAAGCGAACCTCTAGTCTCATAGGAGACCGACCTTCAGCTCTATATAGCAGTACAGCATATGGTGTACACATATATGGCGTAGGATAGTGACTCAATAGTTTAGGAGTTAAATTTTACTGATTTATTCAAACAATCAGCCAATTAAGGCAGAATAAATCATACAACTGATAATGAAGCAAGTCAATAGTGAATATTCAGTAAATTTGTACTTAAAGTTCAATTTTGTAATTCATAAACATCTCTCTTACTAAGTGACCAGTTAATTAAAAAGTAATTATAACAACAGCAGTGCTAGGTTGAAAATAAAATAAAATAAGTCTAACAAATAATAAATGCGCATTAATTACCGGTTCGGAAATTCCACTTTTACTTTTACCCAATCCTTGACCAGGTGTCCAACCCATTTTAGCTAATAATTTCGCTCCTTTATTTTCATCACTGATTGGTTTATATACACTGGCTGGTGTTGGACGAGCAATGAGTGGAGTTTTATTGATTTGTTGTTTGATTACACCTGGTGCCGGAGGTAATGGATAACCAGCTGCTTTTAAATTTGCTTCAATTGCACGTCGTTGTGCAGCACGATCCATATATTGTTTGTCTGTCTTTGCCTGAGTTCTTATTCGTGGAAACTGTTAATGAGAAAAAGGTAAACGAAATTATTGAATACATTTCATCTTCAAAAGTGGTAGAAGTAATGAACTAATTTTGGCTAAATAATCATTATAAACCAGAGAAAAAAGAACAGCTGTTTCACTCTACTATAGGACTTTTCCTCAACAGTGCTTGTCGACAACTACTGTGGTGCGCGCTACTTATAAGTAGTATATGACGCGAGTAAAAACGTAATGTCTGGCAGCAGAAGATGGGGGAAGATCAAGAAAGGAAGAGAGGGAACACAATGGGATTTTTATGAAACGCATGAACAGTGAAATGTCATACAATGGATTGATGTTTGCAACAGGAACAGTCCAGTTCGATATGATGGATTGATATTTTGCAAATTAACCATTTAAGATATGGTTTTCCTATTTTACCAATTAACTCTGTAATTTGAGATAAATACGATTCGGTTGCCCTCACATGTGTTCTCCTTAACTAAACTACGGTAGGCATTGAACCCAAGACTTTAAGGCTCACGATGAGTATGACACCTTGAGATCCACACAGAGGTGATAAGCTAATAATTGTCAACGTAACGCTTTCAATATCTCAATTGTTAGGTTGATCTCTTAGGTATATCATTCAATCTTAAACTATCTAGGGTAAAAAAAATTATCATTCAGTTGGAATATAAATGTTTAAGTAGGATCATTTAGATATGTCTATAAAAATGGCAGTTTATTTTTAAACGATCTAAATAAAATCTATAACTTAAAAAGTAATTATTATAAATTTATTTTGATTAAAGTATTTGTGTATTCTCAATAAGTAGCCAAGTTGGTCAAATAGAAAGAGCTAAGTGATTTCTAATCAGTCTATTAAAAATATGCGCTAAATTTTAGTCAATAAAAAATTAAACTTAGATGAAACTTGAAATGAATGACCATTTAATCTATTTCCGATGGTTGGTATATTTGTCAGTAACCCGAAAGTTTTTCATCTCTCTATGCAACCTAGGCTTTTATTTATTATTCTCTATATTCACTCAAGTCAACAGCAACATAGAACTTCGTATGTACGTACGTACGTACATTCAAATCCCATAGTAGTAGAGGTAGTAGAAAAGTTAGCAGTAATCCGAAATTCTAGGGTTCGACGATATTATTCAAGAAATAGAATCTGGTGAAACAAACTTAAAAAGAAAAAGATAAAGTGACGAGGAATTCAGAAGACTATAAATTCAGAGAAAACAAAGAATGAATACACCTGCGCCATTGCAAACGGTTTTGAGCCATGTCATTCAGGGTCTCTAAACACCGATCACTATCATCTCGCGGGCCCCACCAGGTAGTCGACACCTACAAACATGACTCAGTCCACTTGTCAGTGACTTCATGCATTTGTGCCAAGTTTTGATTTGGCCGCCCCTAGCTTTCTTCCAACCTGTTCCTATGTCGCAAAACATGGCTTGACGAGGCAGTCGGTGGTTAGGCATACGCAACACATGTCCCAACCACCTCAACTGATGAAGTTTCACCATTTCATCTATTGATCTGCCATTCTTACCTAGCACCCGTTTCCTAATAGCAGCGTTGCTCACTCGGCTGTCCCAGGTTATACGAGCAATGCTTCGAAGACACCTATGATCGAAAACCAGTAAACTACGAATATCTTCTACTCTCGCTGGCCATTTTCCACATCCATATAGTAGGACGGAGCGAACTACTGCACAGTACACTCGTCCTTTAGTCAGCAAACGGATATCTCGCTTACACTGTAAGTGACGTAAGTTGGCAAAAGCCAATCGAGCCTTCTGTATCTGTGCTGAGATTTCGTCAGTCACCAGGCCATCAGCACTGATGAGACTTTACAGATAAGTGAAGCGGTCAACACGCTCAACTGCTTCACTTCTCTATATAGAAAAGTACTAATCTATAAATTCAAATCTATACGATCTAATAGTTTAATTTGTCTATACCAAAACAAATTAACCACAAATCAGTTATCCTCCAACACACTTTAATTTTTCTACAGTTGTATTTCAAGTGAATATCAATCATTAATTTAAAATAAATTCGATCATTTATTAATTTATTGAACATATAACAATAAAAAAGATTGTATTATTCAAGCAGATGAATTGTACTAATATACATAAAAGTCTTTATTTAGTCTACTATTTCAAATCATGCGAAAAAGAAGAAAACAGAAACACTGAACTTACTTTCAGACCATATTTCTTTTTTATTTCATCTAATTTCGCGCGTCTTTCCACATCTTTTGATGAATGCGCTGTTTCATTTTCGATTGTATCAATTTAAAAGTACAAAAAAACGACGAATAAAATAAAACAAACTTTGGTTATTCGTAAGAAAATAAATTAACTTAACTTATAGTTTATAATGAATACAAATCTATATTGAGTTCAAGATTATTTACATCATGAAATTAGAAAAAAATGTAGTCAGAAAAAAATTAGAAACAATGTTAACAAGTATTTTGTGATTAAGTTAGTGCCCCTCATCAATAATAATAGTGAGCATCGACAATTCCGAGGAGAGGAGATTGAATTGAAACACTTTTGGTTCGCATAGCAGCTTAACGGTTTACACTACCGAGTTTAATTTGTTAGCTTTATATAGTGAGATGATTTGATGTTAATCAATTAATTGCATAGTTGTCTAATAGTCAACACGATACACTCCATAATCTCTAAGTTGAAACTGATTTTTTCTTATACATATTGCATTATGCGGTTGTGAAGATTGTTAAGTTACACATTTGAACTCATGAATCGATCAAAGTTAGACCACCATTAGAAATCTAGAAGTATTGGACGGCCATTTCTTCCTGGTATGGGACTCATCGGCAGTGCGCACCCACGACTCATGCACCCTAGCAGGATTCGAACCCAAGACCTTCGGTCTTGCGCGCGAACTCCTAACCTCTGGACTACTGAGCCTTTATATAACGGTGCTTATGTCTAACTTCGATCAATTCAAGGACTTGCGCAACCTCATACATTGTCTTCGGTAGTTACTGTCTACACCCGAACAGGTTGAACTTCACTGGTCAAGAGTTCCCACCAGAACTCGGAATAGATTTTCTTACGAAGCTAGTCACTGTTGAGCACAGGCAACTGCTTCACGGGGTTGTGAAGACTGTTAAGTTACACATTTGAAAGCATGAATCGATCAAAGTTAGACCACCATTGTCTGATGAGTCCGATACCTGAACGAAACGGCCGTCCAGTGCTTCTAGGTTTCTTCTAATGCTGGTCAAACTTTGATCAACTCATTATTTCAAATGTGTAATGTATGCATATGAAAATTTGTTGGCACTAATTCATTACTTGGTATAGTTTCAGGTGGTTTTTCGGCACCAGTATCATTATCATTATTATTATCATTCGCATGGCTGTCCGAATTGATTGCTTCATTCGTACCAATAAATGAATTCAAAGCAGCTTTCATCTCATCTGGATCACATTGTCCACATGTTTCATTACCATTATGTATGTGGACAAGTAGACGAGTTGATCCTAGTCGTATTATATCACCATGACATAATACTGATGATTTACACTGAAATAAAATAAAAATAGAAACAAACATTTAGAAAAATATATTTTGTCATAAAAAAAATTATTCACTTTAAAGTGTTAAAAAAAAGATTAGAAAAACTAAGCAGAATTGCTATGTTCGTCACTAAGTATGCTTGAGACTATTACGAGTTTACCTTAGTCGATAAACGCGAACGAGACTTTTACTAGCGTCCATGTAGGCTACCTTGAATCCCAAGCTGAAGTAAAAAGGCTTTATATGCGTAGAAAGTATATTCTACAAACACCCAGCAATTACAGTACAATCAAGCATACAACTCTCGTTTATTTATACATCATAGAAACGTCCTTAAGACAGTCACGAAAATAGCACACTAAAATACACAGCAGCCAATCACAGCCAAGGACTTTCCTGGTGGGAAATGAAATCTCAAGGCCAACTGATCAACCCATGCTGGCAAACTTGAAATCCAAGTTATGGCATTTCTTAAGCGAGTTCTGGGGATCTAACATCCCCAACAAGAATAAAATTTGATTAACCATTGGCATGTTTATGCATATTTTTCTCAGAAAGAAAAACCAATCTTAGCAACTGAAATAAGAATGCCTGTTTGTTTTCTCAATGTTTGGTACAACAATATGGAATTATCAACACGGAATGATTGGCAGATGAAAGTACTCAGGTCAAGAATCAATATCTTATTAAGGTTCATTCTGTAGTGGAACGCTTCTACGAAGAAAATATGATTTGTGAAAAATAAACATTATTGTACTCGTTTTTGTTTAACTGTACCAAAAACACTTCTTCTTGCGCGCAACGTTCTCTTCGTGTTGCTGCCATTTTTCTAAACGCGCGGCTCTCCATGTAATGCCTACTTTCTCCTTTAATAAAATATTGAAACATGGATTTACTTTGATATATGTGATGGGATAGTATGGAACATTTTCAGTGGTGATCATAGTCAATCTGGTATCTCTCAACACTAAAATTCTCTGCTCATCAGAATGCTAGTCTTGAATTGTTGATTTTTGTAGACCTATGAAACGACAGCTCGCAAAACTGTTCATATATACATCTGAATAGAACAAGTGATTATTAGATATATAATTGACATATTCAAACGAATAGAAAATGGTAACTTGTTGAAAGATTTTGATGTTAGAAAACGGGTCGAACAAACATTCTGGCACGCTGCCGTGTTTTTCTTTTACTCAGTCATAATCTGGCGCCAAGTTCTTTTGATGACAATGATTAAATGTGAAATTATTTACGATAAGTGAGAAGTAGAGAAGAAGACAGTTCCATCCAGATATGCTGATTCGATTTACAGTATGAATAAGAATCCTTGCATGTAAAATGTTTGGTACTATGTGTGTATATGTGTATGCGTTTATGTTATTCTCACAGGACTTCAGTAATCAGAGGAAGTTTAAGGTAACAGCCAAAGTCAATTGTAATTATAAACAATTTAGGAATATACAGTAGACAGTAATGTGACTATTTGACTTTGACTTAGTAGACTGATTGTTAGTGAGTGAAGCAACAAAAAAGCATTATGCAACAAAACAAGTTATATTCATATCCATTCGAATTTAAAATGTGAAATATCAATACACGTCAAGTAATTCATTATGAAGAAAAATTTAAACTCTATTAACAAGCAATTAATTACCCGAGGTAATGTGATGCCATTAATAGTTGTACTGAAATTAGAGCCTCTATCCAATAAGGAATACTGACGAGTCTCTATATTATAAGTGATTTCACAGTGCAACTATAAGAAAGAGAAAACATTACAATTAGTAGACAATCAACAGTTAGAAAGGTAGCACTAAAAAAAATTAACATAAACTAATACATGTAAGGTTCACTAGAAAAAAAATTTTTAAAAATAAAGTAGAAAATATAACGTAGCTGCACAACATAAACAAGAAAACAAACAGGACAATGAAGAATAACACAATCAAGAAAAAAAACAGATGCCAAAAACGACAAACCAGAATTGGAGAAAAAAACAAACGTATATGCGAAAAGAGTGAG